ATGTTTAACTTTCCGAGAGGCAGCTTCACAATAAAGTCAGTCATTTATGTATTTTTACTTTTTATGTATTCATAGTTGCCAACTCTACGAGATTTACCACTAGACTACTGGATTTTGCCATTTTCTACTGCTGGTATAATAAAAATTTTCCTGGTTTTTGTACATTTTAGAAAATGTCCTGAAATTAAGCACGTTTTCGTAAAAAGAAATCCCTGTTAGAATAGAATTTTTACACAATCTATTGCTTGCTTGAATATTTAAATAAGTATTACTAATTCATAATGAAGCGAGTCTCACTAATAGTAATCAGTTTAAAGCTCTTTTCTTCTTCTTTTTCTAAAAATTTCAGTTTATTTTTATTTAGAAGACCCTTTTTAAATTAGAAAACCTTTTAATTATTAATAACGATTAACGTGTCTACTACTATTTAAAATTATGAGTTAACATAAGAATTAGGCCAATCATAAATGGAAAATATTGCAGACAATTTGTAATAAAGCAATCATGCAATAAAGTTGTATTTTGGTGACAGTAAAAATCCCTAAAATTACCTATATGTGAAATATTTTGTATATTTTTGCAACAATTGTGAAATTTATATTATTTCGTGAAATCTACTGGAATTTTTCCTATCCAAGTCTACAGCTATGATTTATTTATTTATTTTGAGTGAAGTTATTTTCCGAAAATGGCTCTAAACATCAATATAACAGTTTTGTACAGAACAGTAACAGCTAGGTAAAAAGGAAAATGAGATCTAAATTTTAAATATTTAGGAAGTTACTTGAACCCTGCATTGTCTTGGTTCATTAAAAATTTTTAAAAGATATTCAATGATATTAAACTCGATTTTCTTCCCCATCCCGTAGGTTGGGGGGCAACCCCTGAAATATTAAATATGAGTCTTTATTTTTGTTGCAGATTTGGATTTTCCTAAAAAGTAACCCTGTTTGAGTTGCGGATTGATGTATTTTGTTTCACAGATAGTGCTGCAACCGAGATAAATAAGATAAGGTACAAACTGTTTAAAATTGTAGTGTCTTGAGACCCTTTAGATTGAAAAAAAAGGAGAAATAAAATTAAAAATATTTCGTAAATAAGGACAAAAAAATTGAAACGTGTCTATATTTATCTCTTCAATTTCGCATATTTAAACGGCTTGTAACCTATTTATTTTTATCGGTTACAGCACCATCTATGAAGCAAAATGCATAAACTAGTAATTTAAATAAGGTTATTTTTTTCTGAAGAATCCGAAACTACAAGAAAATAGGGGTTCATATTTAAGATTTCGAACTTATCCCCCACTCCGTCCCCAGGGGATGGGGGTGAAAATTCGAGTTTAGTATCATTCTATGGTTTTTAAAAAATAAATATTGAATGTAATTATTTTCACTTTTTCGATGCTATGTATATTTCTCTAGATATTTCACCGTTTTATATATTTAATTGATAATGAAATTTCATAGCACTTTCACACACTTTCTTTCGCTGGTCTTGCTGCTTCCGTTGCTTGAAAATTTTATTTCAGTTGCGCAATTTCAATCACTTTCATGGCCATTTGTTAAAGTAATTTTCCAATATCAATTGACTGTTATGATTTACCGTTGGAAAGCAGTGTCGTTATATGAAGTGGCGCATTTCCTATTTCTTCCTTTAAATAACGAAACAATCATGGACGATATCCCGGGCCGGCATCCATTATGTTTAGACTTTGCCATTAAACAATATCCGTGTTTTTACGAGTTGTTTAAATTTCTTTTTCCGCGTGAACTTCCTGCCTTACACAACTTCATCATTTTATCCAATAGAATGAATGGATGTTTACTTTTATTTATTTACTTTTTTTTTTGTTGGTCATTTTCATTCTCTACCTGAGCCTTAATCGTTCCCTCTTTTTTTTTTTTTACATTAAGTTTACATCATTATATTTTCGTGATGTACAGGTAATGAAGAAAATGTTCCCAAATGCATTACGCTCATCTTTTATATTTGTTCTGTAGGTTACGTAAAAAGATGTTCAAGTGGTCATTAGGTAATAGATAGCTGATCTGAAGAGAAGGCTATATCGCGAGAGAAACTTTTCATCGCGAATTCTGTTTCGTATCCATAAAATAAGTATATAAAAAATTGAATTTAGGCAAAACTAGAGAGATGAAAGAAAAATGATTTCAAAATATCAAAATGCAAGCAAATTATTGGAAAAGAACTTCCTCATTGTATAATCCTAAGTTATCCTCTCATAATTTGTTTTCATTTTGATATTTTGAAAAAATTCTTTTCAGTGTTTGAAGATGGGAAATCTGAAAACAAATTCTTAAATTTTAGTTGCTTAACTTTTTTCTTCTCTGCATCTGTCAATTAGTCAAACGCCGACCACAGTTCAGTACTTACGTAATATTCTCAGTGGTAGAGTTCCCCAATGGGCTTGAGTCCCCTTACAGTTAGGCTAATCATGGGAGGTTTTCGTTGTTTTCCACTCCTAGTAGCGCAAATGCGGGTTAGTCCCATCAAAAAGTCCTCCACGAAGGCAAATTTTTCCCAATCCAGGAGTTCCCTTGTCTTCTGGATTGGGTTTAAAATTACAAGGATACTGAGTTGAACATTAGTAGTCGTAAACTCAAAATTGGGTTGGCTGCTCAACGACGGTTATATAAAATTAATATGTATTAGCCGTGGTGGCTCAGGGTGTAGAGCTTTGACCTTCCAATGAGATGAACCGGGTTCGAATTCCAACGATGCCTGGTGCAAACGGGAGGACCGACCACAGTACTAAGGTAAAATATCCTTAGTGGTAGACGGATCATGGGTTAGAATCCCCTTTCCGACAGGCTAACCGTGGGATGTTTCCGTTTTTTTCCTGTGCATCTAGCTCTAACACTGGTTAGTACGATCAAAAAGTCCTTTACGATGGTAAAATTTCTTCCAATACTTGATCCAGGAGTTTCCTTGTCTTCTGGATTGGGTTCAAAATCACAAGGCTTTCGAAGTTGTATTTTTTAGAGGATTCATTTTCTATAGGTGGATGTAGGACTCGCATTCTCTTGTGTTTTTTCCTCATTTTATAATTATAAATTGGTTTGTTTTTGTTATATAACACAGTCTGATTTTGTTACGCAATTTTTGTATTTAGTGCAGTCTCTTCTTGCTGTCGTCTCATATAATTGAAAGTTCAATTTAATGTCGAGGTGCCTTATGACATTTTGTTCTTTTTATATTTTGTTCTTTTTTTTTTAAACTTTTCATTTAACATAGTTATTATAACCGTTAATTTGCACTTACACGTTGAGTTGAGCGCGACAGTGCCAAAGCCATTTCGTGTATCATTAAATGTTAGATCTCGTGTGTCAATCAGATATTAGAATACTTTAAGCTATTGTCACTTGAACTTAATTTTATTACAAAACAATTATTTCAGATAATTTTATCTATATTTTACCATTTTCCTAATTTCATTTTATCGTTTGTACAATCTTCTTAGTTTTTATTTTTTTATCTTTTTCTTGGTTAATTTTTTTTCACCTTTTAAAGTAATTAAAATAATAACCCACTCAATTTAAACCTTAGTCACAGTCACAAATTATCAATCGTGAGTACGAACACGATTGTCATTTACTATGATTGACTTAAAGTAAGTTTATTATTCATAAATAAAAACTTCAAATTTATTTATAAAATGTTTTTTTTCGTCATTGTTTTATTTTGAAACAAAAGTCTTTAATGCACGTTTTTATACTGCGCTTGATTATTTTTAATCCGAAAACACTATTCTCATTAACCTTTCGTCATAATATTTGTTCAGCTGTATTTTCAAAGGTAATCTCATTAACTAGATAATGGTTTTTTGAGAAAGGACAAATAGAGAAAGCGAAAAAAAAAACTAATCATTTTTTTCCCCTTTTTTTTCTGAGATTAGCAAAAGGCATTGCAAAGAACGCAGAGACAGCTAACTACGATATTTCAAATAACAAGGTGGCCTAGAAGGTTATTTTGGAGACATAGAAAACATTTTTCTTGATAATTTTTACGGAACTTATCATTTGTTACATATTGTAGCCTAGAGCCGGGGCGTTTCACGGTATAGACCATTATTCGCCTCCCAATAAGGGGATTGAAGTTCGAATCCGAACAATGGCGAATACGAATTCTGCACCTGGCACGCACCGGCAGCAGTGTTGTCATAAAATATCCTCCGTGGTAGACGGACAATGAGTTAAAACTCCTTTTTACTGAAAGACGTTTTCGTGGTTTCCTGTCCTTGTAACAAAAATGTTTGTTCCATCAAAAAAGTCCTCTACGAAAGCTAATTTATTTCAATGTTTGGACCCAGGAGATTTTTTGTCTTCTGTGTTGGGTTCAAAATTACGAGGCTTCGGATTGGAACATTGATAGTCGTAAACTCGGAATTGTGTCGGCCTGTTATAAACTAAAACATATTTTAACCTATTGTCCTTGCGTATGTTTGTGCTTGTATCTGACAGCGAGAAATCCCATAATTTTTACTTGCTCAAACATACATACAAATTTTAATTTTTAATCCTTTAACTCGATATGGAAAAACTAAGTGTTGTATCACAAATGTATCTCTGTATATTTAAATTCACTACGATTATCTCTTCATTTATAAATACATATTTGCTTAAATAAATAATGCCTAGATATTGAAGTGGTAAGACAATACATGATAGAAAAATATACAAATATTTTTACCCAGATTTGCCTCTCGGCCACTGGGTGTGTGTTTTTCCTTTCGGTTTCTATAGTTATTCTAATTTTTGTTTCTTACCTTTATTTTTTCTTTTTTTTTTCTTCGTTGAAAGGTTTATTTCATTTACGTCTGTCAAGTCTTGAAAATGGGAGCCTATTTTTGATGCGCGACTGTCATTCCAATTTTGTATATTTTTGAAGTGTATGAAGTTTGCTTAGTTCAGATATTTTTGTCATTGTTACTTATTAAATATATTTGAATAGTGTCTATATAAAGATTGTTTCTATTTTAGGAAATAGCGCAACTAATAGAGTGTCTCGATCCTAATCAGCATGGAGTCGTCACATTTGCCGATTTTTGTTCGGGTGTTGTTTCCACCATGCAAAACAAGGGGACGAGCTTTGAAGAGACCACTCTGCGATATCAAAAGGTTAGTACAATTTTGTATTTAACCCTTCGTCGTAATATGAAATGTTTTTGTGCGAATAATATGCTATTTTTATAACTGCTGTGAGTTTGCAACTGTTACTCATAACTGTTAGGTCAAGTTTACCTTACCTCAGCGCTGTCAACGCTCAGTTTAAAAATGGTGCAAAAATGAAAAGCGTTTGTGGTCTAATATTTTAATATTGCGGAACACCATTTGGGATAATCAAGGGATGGGCTCAAAGTTTGTCTTTCTCTTGTATATAACAAATATACAAAAGTGTAGACTTGTTAACATTGATGGTTGCATTTTCTATAAATGAGAGCATTCCCCCCCCCCTTTCTTATTTTCTAAATCTATACAGCTTTTTCGTATCAACTTACTTATTGAATTAACTAAAACCGAGAAACAATCATTTTTACTTTTTCGTTGTTATATTTTCTCTCTTTAACGTCACGCACATGTGCAGTGGTGTAAAAACGCGCTAGTGCGTGCAAAATTAAAGAGAAATAATCCATATCACCCTCATGACATAATGATATTTTGGTTTTCGTCTCCTAAGCAACTGACGAAGCTTCAGGGAAAAAAAAGCTCTCTTTTTCTTTACCTTCGCGTCCAGCTTTTGAAATTTTCTAGGAAATCCGGAAACAGAAGAAGCGAAAGGTCATTGCCATCGTTTTAATAACAACTTCACTCAAATTGTGTTACTATTTATGTTACATAACACAGTCTCGTAATAGTTTAAGACTAATTTTAATGCCTTTTTTCTTTTATTGTGCCGAGTTTTCAGTGAAATAGGGAGCAATGCCTCTTGACGGGCGAACATATTTGACGTTTAAGTGTACCTCATTAGTCAATTAGGTTTTTTTAAACTCTCAAACGAGACCTGCATAGATAATTTTATGTACCTGCATAATTTATTTTTCTACTTATCTGCATGCTTATAGAGTTTGCTTGGGGGGTCATATGAGGTGATAAAATATACACTTTTTTTCCTTTACTCTCAAAGCCGACGTAATAGTTGTAAGTTATTGGTTTTGCCTGGATTGAAATTAGATAGTAGATCTAGATTAGGATTCAAAGAAAGAATGAAATGAGTTAATTGAAAGGCGTTATTTGTCCGACATTTTATTGTTTGTGTTTGAAAAACAAATCTTTTAACCTTCTGTGACCTCGCAAAGACGTAGCTACCCCTTCTAAATGGAATCAATGATTTTTTTTTTTGGAATAAATGCTTATATTTATCATGAGGAAAAAGAGCTAACTTAATTGCGTTTTTCCAGTTATTAATAATTTAAAAAGATAGGTTTCTTGAAAACAATTTCAAAAATTTGAAAAAATACAGAGGTATATCTTATTTTAAATATATACTTTTGCAGACCTCAGCAACCTTCTCCGAAAAAAAAAAATGGGTTACCGAGTGACCTCGCATGTGTGTTAATATATTTTTTATGAAAATTTTTACCACACTTGACACAATAGTATTTTTTTAATGCAGAAAACAATTGTTTGTCTGTTTAAATAGAAACAAAATAAGATTCCTTGACAATTTTCGTTTTTTAATTCTCTGTACAAAATTCACTCTAAAACCGGAGTTTTTTAAAGCTCAACCAATTCGAGAACTAGTCAAATTTTGGATTTGGTCACTTAAATTTATTACATATCTTAAGGGGATAAAAAAATATTTTAAATTTCACAATTCAAAAATTCTTGTTTGATCATTATTAAATTATTTTTTATTTTTATTTAACCTTTTCGCGCCAACTGTCACAAATACGTGACAGCATAAAACCGTATCAATCAGGGTAAAGATATAAAACTGGTAATCAAAGTATTTCTTTCGCAGTTTATTTGTGGGCGGAGTTATAATTGTTTGATTTATTTAACTCACCAATATTTTGTTCAAAATAAAACTATTTAGTTATACTTTGAATTAATATTGATTATATATATGATTAAACTAACAATACTTAAGTAAAAGCAAAGTAAGCCTGTCAAATTAGCAACGACTACACTTAAGTTACCGTTTTTTATTTAATTACAATTTGATTCTGATTTTGTACGAATGCTTTTCTGAATCACCCGTCCCCAAGGGGTTAATAACCGTCGTTGAACAGCCAACCTAATTTTGAGCTTATGTTAAACTCCATAGCTGTAAAAAACAGTTTCATTATCATTGAACAGACGTCATTGTAGATATTTACCAGAAATTTTAAACAGATTTATTTACACTTTTTGAAAAATAATAACTTAGTTGAAAGAGTTTCTTTAAATGACATTCGCTGATCAAAATGATGGAGAAAACAGAGCAATCTGGTTTATAAGAAAAAAGATAGATATTATAGTTAACAATACTAAATGACAATAATGAATGTTTTTATTTTATTTTATAACCGTCGTTGAACAGCCAACAAAATATTTTGGGTTTACGACTACTAATGTTCAACTCCGTAGCCTTGTATTTTGAACCCAATCCAGAAGACAAGAGATTTTCTGGTTCAAGTATTCTGAGAAATTTGCCTTCGAGGAGCACTCTTTTGGTGGAAGTAACCCGCATTTGCATTACATGGAGAGGAAATCCTCCCACAATTAGCCTTACGGCTGGGATACTCTATCCCAGGGATCGCCAAACTTTTTTGATCATCGACCCCTATGTAATTTTTCGAAATCTCCATCGACCCCCACAAAAGTAATTTTCTGTTAATTAAAATAAAACTCTATTAGATACTGTGTTTGCACATTTATTTTATGATTTTAAACATTTATTAAAGTAATAACAATAGTTTCATGAAAGTAGTAACAAAGTAGTATAAAGTAGTAGTATAGTAGTAGTATAAAAGTAGTATAGTAGTAGTATATAGTAGTAGTATAGAAGTAGTATAGTAGTAGTATAAAAATAGTAACAATAGTTTCATGAAAAATATATTAATATTGAAATTTAAATATCTTATTATTAAATAATAAGTAATTATGCATAAGTAGATATCATAAGTAAAGTAACTAAAGATTTACTGCTTCTTGATCAATGAGATGGGCGTGCCTGGTGTTTTTTTGCAAGGTTCGCTATATTGGGTTCAAAATTGGTCGATTTTAATTTTCGTCAAAATTGGTCAATTTTGTAATTTTTGTAAAAAAATACAAAGTGTGCTATAGTTTTGTCGCGGGCTGTACTAATCCATATTATTAATGCTTACCTTCTTTTTTGTGCATTGATAATTGAAATTGATATCTAAACTAAACGAATGGTTTTATCGAAACAATAACTAATTTTCGAAAACTATAAAAGTTTTAATAATGACACTGTAAATATTCAACACAGTTTGCAAAGATAGCTGAAACTGCGTATGATATTTGCATTTGTAACGTCAATGCTCGTCACACGTGACATTTGGACAAGTGCACGTATGCATATGACTTATAAACTGCGCTGAGTTCGTACCACTGCGCGGTGGTACGTAAATACTTGCTTCTCCCCAATAAATATACGTTCATTAATTTATGTTTTATAAAGAAACTGATATTGAGTCAATTATAAAAAAAATTCACAAATTTTACATACTTAATTAGGTATGTGTGATTTGCGTATTGAGAACGGTTTTTTTTTTTTCGACCTACTATCGACCCTTCCGATTCGGATCGACCCCCATTCGCCCCCCTGTCTCAGATCGACCCCCGCTTTTGTTAAATAGACCCCTGGGGGTCTATATAGACCACTTTGGCGACCTCTGNATAAATCTTTAGTCGATTTTATTTTCAAAAAAGAAAATAATAAAGAAAAAATATTTTTACATTTATTAAGTACAGAATTTGACCATTAGTCAATACTACTTTTTATTATTTTAAATAAAAGAGGGTCTAATGATGTTTCAAAAGCATGATTTTTTTTTCAACAAATAATTTTAAAAAAAATTTTTTTTTTCTAAAGTGAGCATTTCTTTGGTTTGTTTTCTACTTTCGTTTTTTCTTTTCTTTTAATTTTTAATGCATGTATGTAAAATATTTTGTTATAGTGTTATTTTTAAACCAATAAATCATTTTTAATTTAAGAATAATGAAATAAAACTTGGGTTTGCTTTTACTTTGACTTCTTTATTATTTTAATTGAAAATGTTAAGCAATGATATTGATGTCATAGTGGAGTATGTTTAGAATTAGTATTTTCTTTTGTAATAGATTAATTTCTTTTTATTTATTTTTGATTTATTTAAAGATTTGCCATAGGTAATTTTTGAACATATGCTAAATTCGCTATATCGCGATGTATCACGATTTAAAATTTCTGACATCACCCAGTCCTAATCATAATATACGACAAATAAGCTATAATTTTAGTTATTTGGCTACTATTTTTGATGAATTTTTGACTCTGTTCAGGCAACTATTTTCGTAGTTTTAGGCAACTATTTTCTTTCTTGAGCGGTTGAGGCTACTAAAAGCAACTATTTTTGTTCCTTTTTTGCTGTGGCAACCCTGAAGCTCTGTCATCAAAGGAAAGTAAAAAAAGTCATAGTTTGCGTGCCTTACACTTGAAGCAATGCAATGATTTTAAAACTATATACGTATATATAATTTTACCGTAAAGAATTATCTGGGCTTTAGAACATACACATAACTTAAATATTTTAAAAGTTATTTAACTTTTTTAAAAATCGCTAATTTGGCGACATTTTTCCACCTAGGGGTAAATTATCAAAACCACTGCCTTGTTCTCAGTTTTTGCAAATTTTTATCAGCCCAGATGAAGCAGTATAGGAGTAAGCAAACGCTTTTCATTTTCACAAAACTGTGACTTTTCTCCAAATTGATATTTTGCACCATTTTTAAAATAAACGTAGACAGCTCTGGCTTTCGATGGACTAAACTTGACCTAACATTCATGAGTAACACTTGCAAACTCACGGCAGTTAAACAAATAGCATATTATTAGCATCAAAGCATCCTTTCATATTACGACGGAGCCTTCGAAAAACTGTCTTTAAAGATATATCCTAGCAACAATTTTACCTTGGCGGCCCCAGTTTGGCTCAATATGGATGCTATAAGGACATGCACCTAGGAGAAAATATTGGGATGTCTAGATTTTTTAATATGAGACCTAGAATAGCCTATATTGACTGAATAATGAATCTAAAATATCTTGAGAGCCTGACAATTCTACGTATAGCCAATATCGGAAAAATAACGGCTTTTTGAACCCTTATTGTGCCAAGGTCTTAAATGTCCAACAAAGCGGTTTGCAATATTTTATTTCAATAAGTATGCTGCATACTATGTTGTTTTAATTGCAATCATTCTTTTATCATTGCAGCCAAATGTGCTGGTGAGCAGTCCACACCTACAGGTGGATGGGACAGCGAGAGATGACTCCTCCCCACCCCCTCCAGGTGACACTGACAGTGCCATTGCTACAGGCAGCGATGTCAGCAGAGAATCTTTAGCCGACAAGCAGGACAGGTACAACTTGAAATTGTTTATTGGAGGGCTTAACGTATACAATGAAGTGGATGTTTAGGCATTTAAGTTTCTATCGTAGTTATGGGGCTCTAGTACAGTAGGGCTATCTGGATAATTAGACAACTTTTGGAAGAACCATACCCTGAATGCTTTAATTACATTCTACATCTTCGAAATTCAATTTTTTCCAATTTTTTCTTACCCAAAAGATATTTTAAAATAAAATCGTTAACGAAAAGAACATAAAGAGCTTGAATTTGATTTTAAATACCTTCTGTTTGATTGGGTAATTGGACGTTCTAAATGTATGGTTATAAAAATTATTTTAAGGGATACAAACAGATGTATACAATCCGATATGTTAAAGACGCATAGCGTTTTTTAGAAAGGAGCTGCATCTTTTTTCCAAAATTTAACTTCAATCATTAGGGCCTTAATAAAATCAGTTTAGGTGCCATTTTATAATATCTAAATTATCCTTTAATTTAAGAAGAAGAATGTTAGTCTGTCTTACAAGTCAATTGATAGTAGAAATTTACAAAATGTAAATAGAATATTTTCGAAATTGAAAAAAAATAAATGCAGTTTTGCTTTTGTGTAGATAAAATAGTTTTTGTCTTTTCTACGTTTTTTTTTTCTACTTGCAATAAAGTAATGAGATAGTCTTAGGTAAAATTACTGTTAAATGTTAAATTTTAGATTATCGAGCACTGCGTATCTGCCTCGTGATATGTAACCGTGTATTAACCCTTAACAGTCCGGAAATTTTTCACGTTTACTTATGACTAATTCTTAACTATTTTCTAATAAAGAAAAATAAATTCTGGTATTTTTATATCAAATATGGAAAAGAAGATATTTTTATTTTAGTAAGAATATGTCAATAATGTTAATTTTAACAATGAGTTATAATATTAATTATGTTATTAATGAACATTATAATTATTGTAAACCCGACAACATTGAAAGGAATAAATATAATAAAATGATTTTTGCAGCAATATAGTGGCATTTAACCCTGTAAATGTAGTTCTATATTTACATGTTATATTTACATACTTATGCTTAGTTGTATTATTATTTACCTATGTAGTTTATATTATCACTGGTAAGAGCATTTTGGTTAATATTTATAAGGCTGTAATTAATTGCATTAAAAAAAAAATTTTTTTTTTTTTTTTTGAAAAATATGTAAGTTTATATTAATAATGCATGTTATGGCACAGCATGTGAAATTATTTAGCTTCCAAAGAGAAACATTCTTTTCCTATTTAACAATTGCATGGTGACTTTTGTGGTGTTCTTCTTTTTTTCCTCTTTTGTTTGCTTAACTTTCATGTGCTTAACTTGTATGTGCTTCTAGTCATGTGTTTGTGCTTAAGGTTTTCTGCTTTTTCTTTATTTGTAGTGGCAGTGATGATTGTGATGAGAATTTTACTTGCATGGGACATCTTACGCGACCTGAAAATAGGTAGGGATAGTTAAAAAGCGCTCATTTAATGGATAGGGTAGTAACCCATTTATTTTAAGTGATTCAGCTTTGCATCCTCATTTAAAAACTGAAATAATAGTACTCCCTCTTTTAAGGAAGATACTAACGTCTTTCTTTATGGATTCGGACGTGTCATTCGTAACTCTATAAGTCTAGTTTTCAGCAAGGGCAGAGGCATCTCTGATCTTAGCGCTTTTGTACTAAATTACGTGACCGAACATATTCCGATTGTAACGCTGTATCGATATAATAATTTTTTATTCGATAACTGGCATTAAAATCGAGCCATCTCGATGTTGTATTTTTAAAAAGTAAAGCACTTATGGCATTCGTTAAATGACGTCATTTTAGTTACATGTGTTTTTGAATAGGAATTATTTTCGTGAAAATTATTGTTGCACTTAATTGATAAAGGCTTATACAATCTTTAAAGGAAATATTTCGGAACACAGGAAATTGTACTATACCAAAAATGTTTGGTATGATGATGTTCTCCCATCGACAACAATACATTTTCTGGGGAAAGAACTGCCAAGGCAAAATGAAACCATTTACTTTTCTTGTCTTTTTTTGTGATGAATTTGATTTATTTATTTTTCGTAATAAATTCTTCCATTAATTCTACTACAATCACGACTGAAACTTTCCATTATCCGTCATTCTTGTAAATCTTTAATTGAGACGACGTATCAATTCATACGGACCCTCCAATCAGTCAGAACTATCAATGAATGATAGGTTGAATCCAAATATAATTTTACAATGTGTGTCATTGTTTTCCCTATTGATATAAGTTATTAACGAAAATGACGTCATTTGAAGCCATGCTCCATTTCGAGGAAGTACTTTTTAGTAGTGGAACTCTTATCCAAATAATCGAAATGTGCTAATTATGTATTTTATTAATAATGCATACGAGAGAGAAAGAGAAATTTTCAAGTAGAGGAAAAAAACTAATAGCTTGGATGCAAAGTAATGTAAATTTTTCTGCTGCTTTTAAGCTTGTCGATAACTTTTCATTGCTTTAATTTAAATAAAGGTAGCTCTTCAAACTAGATACCATTGTTCGAGCTTTTTATATCCCCCCCTCCAAGTGATCTGGATAATGAGCAATCCTGATGATTGGAGTTCTGCAGTTATGACTAGTCAATGAACCTGGAAATATTTAATTAGCACACCCTGAAGGATTTGCAATACTTTGAGGTCTTTTTCCCCCCCCCCGTTTTTTTTAACTGACGGTTACTANTATATATATATATATATATATATATATATATATATATAATATGCTCTTTACAACTAAATAAAAAATTTTGAAATATTTTCGTAGTTAACCGAAACAAGTCAAGTTGAGCACCTCTCTTAATTGATCACAGAAGCAATTTACAGCAAGTGGTATACATATACCAGTTTCACCGTACCTAAGAGGGAAAAAAATATTTGTCTTAAAATTATTATTATGATTACAATGCCACACTGGAACTTATCTAATTAGATATTAGGAGCTGTCTAGGATTTTTATTAATAAATTACTATAGTAAGTAATAATAAAGGTTAATCGTTTATACGTCAAACATGCACTCTTGTTCACTGAAGTGGGCCTAAATACAAAACACACTTTTTGGATCTGCCTGAATTTCTACGGCATTTTTTTTTTTTTTTAGTACGAATTTCCGATTTGAGGTATTAATTTAATAATAAGCGTTTAAGCCAAACTTTTCTGTATGACAGTCGTTTTTGACATTAAAAAAATGTATATTGTACAAAGAGTTTATCTCAAATATAATTTTTTTTTTTTTAATGTAAAGGCAAAATCTAATGATGTACCAATTTAAAATATTCTTCTTCTTTTGAATTATTCATGAAATTTTAAATTATAAAAATTTATGTCACTTTATTTTATGAGCCGTTCTGTAAAAATTTGTTATTTTAAATAAACTTCTTTTTAGTATGTTTTAAGGGCGATTTGTAGCAGAGTTCGTCAGTCATAATTTATTGTTTCGGACCGACCATGCTTTTCAAATTAAACTTTCCTCATTTCCTGCGTATGACGATATCATTTCTCGAAACTACTCGCAAGGCTTTAAAGAATTAAATAAAATTATTTATTTTTTGTCTGATTTATATATTTATTTTTGAAAAAAAAAAAAAAGATGTATCTTCACAAGAGCATCTATTCACACATTTCCTTTTTGTGTTTTAATATGTTTTCCATGTGTGTCTTTTGCCTGATGTGTCTTTTGTGTCCTTGTGTTACCGTTTCAGTTCCGGCAGCTTCAGAAGTACCAGCAGTCACGGCAGCTGTACCGGAGGTGCTTCCAGAAGGCGGCGTTCCCGAATACTCAATCGCTCTAGGTAAGTTNCTGAACAAGGTAATGGAGCACCCCTTTTTTTTCTTATAAGATTTCCATTCCTTTGTTAACCTTCCTATAGCTGATCCCTATCCAAAACTTGCAGCTGATTAATTTTGGTTATCCACCCCATCCCATGGCCCTTTCCAACATTATATTGTACCATTCCTTTGTACCAAATGTCTTACCATTTCTTGGTCAAGATTATCTCTTCCGTTAAACCATTATAAGCGATTGTCTGTAAAGCACGTCATTGGATTAGGGATGGAGAAATTTCAGAATTGGATTCCGGACGAATTTTATTTTTTTGAAACTTTTTTTTTTTAAAAACAACAACTTTTGTTCATGTTTTTATTTTATTTCTGTTAAATTATACAATAGAATAAGTTTATAAAAAATGAAACATTGAAAATGATAGCTATCTTCAGATCTGAGTGCAACCCAAAAAAATCCTTAAAAGGTAGTTCAAATATTATGTGAGCATAATTTTGTGGCTTTTATCGACAAAACAAACAAATTGCATATCTCCCCTGCTTAAGTAATATTTTTTTTCTTCTTTCAAAGCATCATTTTTTTCCCTCTTCTAAATTCATCTATGTAGCCATATAATAGGGTTTTCCGATAGGAGGCAGTTCAAATATTACTTAAGCATGTTTTTTTTTTTTTAGTAATTTCATAGTACCATTTCCTCCTTATCAGCAATAACTAAACAAATTATAAACCCTTTTCATGCTTATGTAAGGAAGTCGCGATTCTACACACTAACTTTTTTCCCCTCACCCTACATTTTTACAATAATATTCTAATTTTAATAACTTAATGATTAAGTTTTATTCATTTTATAAAAAATTAATTCATTTTATAAAAAATAAGAAATCTTTGAAAAAAAAATTACTGTTGGCGTGAGCATTTATACACCTTTTCCCCATATCAGCAAAAATAAGTAAATTCCTAACCTCCTTCCTCCCTTAAGTAACCTCCCCTATTAGAAATTCAGTATCTTAGTGAGCATTTCCCATATACCTCCATAGTTAATCGCAACTGACTTGGGAGCTTTCGTTCTATTTGAATGATCCCCAAAACAAATGTAACCCATATTTGCTACCATAGAAAGTATCTGAAAAATTCAATTTCGAAGAGAATAATCTTTCACGATATTCGAAAAAAAAGTTATTTGCTGATAACTTGCATGATTCTTTTTTCATGCATGATTTAGGAAAAACATATTCACCTTCGTGTCATCTTGATATCCCTTCTGAAGATCTATCGTGACAACTTCTCGAAGTGTCTCATGAGGGTAGTGTGGCGACGGAAGTAGTTAATTATCGTCACTCCACGATATCGCCTCGGTTCTCATATTTAGGATAATCACCTCTAAGGGAGAGAGGAAAATGACTTGGACCTCGCCATGCAGAACAATGTTGACGGTCATTAAGTCAGGTATCAACACCCACACTTCAACATTAAAAACGCTTTTAAAATGAATGCGGGAAGTGAGTAGGGTCTTATTGCGAAATAAGGCACATAAATTCTATTTCTCAACTTACTAGGACGCCTAACTACCATTCTGGGCTATCTTAACCCTATCATTTTCTGTAGGTGTAGGTTGTTGGAAAAACGAGCATCCAGGTTGCTCAAAATAATAATTATTGTTCGAAAAGAAGAATATTTTTTCAGTTTAAGGAGTGTTGCCAGCCTTCTGCATTGTTTTAAAATTATTAATTTCAAAAATCGCAAAATTCCAATTTTTTCATTTTTTAAATTCAAGAATAGTTAAAAAGGAAATATGTATTTATAACGATAAGGAGAAGGAAAAGAGAGATAGACGAAGAAAAATAATACGTTTTGTTTACCGCGCATAAGCTGCAAATATACAGAACCCATAGAATAAGTTAAAAATATAAAGAAAACAAGGAAGAAATATATATGTTTAAAAGAACAAAAAAATTAACCACTAAATCGCGCAAGTGTATCTATAATAGAAAAATCTAGAAATAATTATGATTAAAAATAAGTTCTGTAGAAATTAATGAAAATATGTTTATGATTAAAAATATGTTTTGAACAAAGAGAAATTACCTTATTATATAACTTTATGTTTAAGCATATTGCTTATAAAAATAACTCGATATAATAGATACGGGGATATTTTTTTCTATAAAACTTAAGCGTATTGAAAATAACAAAAATTAGCTACAATTTAAATAAAGATCAAAAAATTCTTAAATGTAAGAATCTGTTACATATCGCGAGAGAAACGTTTCATGGTGAATTATGCAATAATAATTAGTTATTTAAAATTTGATTAATCGAGACATTTTATTCACATTTCATTTAAATGAATCAAAACCGATTCGGATGACGCAAATAAAATTCTTTTAACGATAATAGCATAAAAACAATAAATGCTTATTAAAAAAAATCTAAAACTCGACAACTATATATTATTTAATAACCCATCAAAAAGATAACATAATTTTGTCAGAAAAAATTAATAGAAAATCTAAAATACCGCAAGCTTTATATCTGAAATTGTGATTGAATGGCGGACTTTTATTTTACATGAATCGAAAGAAACTGCCTAATAGAGTAAATATTACTCACGAAAGTTAATACGGGGAAACTAAATAAAAATGGTTAAAAGCATATTTAGAATTTTCTCTACCCGCTTCCAACTTTTCAAGAGCTGAGTTCACTCCCGAGAGTAAGTATTGAATCTCAGTTCGTGATTTAACAAAAAATGTTTTTTATTCTCTTTTGCACGCTGTTTACTATAATTTTCATTTCTGTACAATTAATTATACCTACTCTGGTTTGAACAAGAGAATTCTCTTCAATTCTACATGCATCTTTTAAACGAGTTATTTTATTATTTGGAGGAAGAAAAAAAAGTTTTCGGAAGCTAGTTTAATGAAAGAAAGACGGATAATTTTTCCGGTAGACTTAATTTTAGGTTTTATTCCAATCTATTGAATCGTGAACCAAACTAAAAGTTAACTAAACAAAGCTGTCTAATTCTCAATTGAATATTCTTGCCATTTGTCTTTTGTAAAGAGAATATCCACGGCGCACTGAATAAATCGCATGTTCTGACTGAACAAGGTAATGGAGCACTAAGTAATTGTTTTGGAAGCTTAAATCGTGATATAGTTCGTGATCTTTTCAGATCAGAAAGCGTGATCAGGAAAAATGACTCGTGACACCATAAATGCTGAGAAGATCGAAAAACAGAACTGTTTTGACTTCCATGGCAACGTGTTACCAGAAATGAGTTCGGGTTCATTTTTAAAAACCCGAGACCGCTCGAGCCAGAAGAATAAATCTTAGCCCGAAATCGACACAATGTTTTTGCACCCGAGCCCGGTCAGGTTCGAAATTGAAAAAATTCTTCTGCACTGGAGCACACTCAAGTTCGAAAACGATAAAAATCTTTTTTATCCAAGTTATTTTTATTTTATAACCGTCGTCGAACAGCCGACCCAGTTTCATGGGTTTACGACTACTTACGTTCAACTCCGTAGCCTTGTAATTTTGAACCAATCCAGAAGACAAGGAAACTCCTGGATCAGTACCCCCAGAGGTATTGATTCGTTGTTTTATCCAAGTTAGTCCATATCCGAAATGGACAAAATTCTTTTATACCAGAGCCTAGTCAAGTTCAAAATCGTCAAAATTCTCTTGTACCTGAGTCCGCTCAAGTCTGAAATCGATAAAATTCTTTTGTACTCGAACGAGTCCGAGGTTTATTTTAACAGATTAAGGCTAAAATATTCCGGAGAAAGAGACCCATTAAATATGATATTTGCAGATTTTTTACATCATTCTAGAATAGGGATTTTTTAAAATCTTAACATAACTTTCAATAACATGCCTAGATAGCAATAATTCTCAAATCATGACATAAAACTTTTATTATATGGTTAAAGACAGAGTCATAAATAATTTCCACGTTAAAAGTATGCTTATAAAAATGCATCAGAGCACGTAGATTAAGTTGAATTAACAACTTAATGTATATTATCCAAATTGTATTAATCTTTTCATTATATGATAATTATATTATAAACAGTGATAAATAATTTTCACTTTGAAAGAATGCTAAAAAAATACTCCAGCGCATGCCAATTATATTGAATTGAGAGCATTAATTTATATACTAAAGTGTGAAGGAGGGTCAGTTGTCGAGAAGTCAGAATTAATTTCATATCTACAAAAGTGGATTATTATTATGTTTGTTTAAACTTAACCGAGATTATCCTTGATTTTTTTTTTTTTTTTAAAGGAAAAGATTTTTTGCAAGAAATCAAAGCTGACTTTTTGTGAAAAATCTACACAAACTTTCTGTGTACCTAAAATTACCGTAGGATAAGGTTCTTTCTGCCACGGTCCCGCCCTTTTGAAATTTGTAAAAATAAAATCCTGATTTAGTGAGAAAAAAACTTATCTTCTGGAGTTATAGTTTTTAAATTATGAATTAAATGAGCTCCATCTCCGTATTTCAAACGTAAAATTTTGTGAGAAGTCCGTTTTTGAAAGAAAAACGATATTGCGAAGGGTTTGTTTTAAAGATGAAATAAATTGTTAAGAGGTCGTTTTTACCATAAAATATCTTGCAAAGGGTTCATTTTTACGGTACAATAATCGGAAGGGAGCGGTCCCAAACTTCTCCTTAAATGAATCATGTTTTAAACAAGCATTTTAGTAATAATAAGTAAGGCCCATATTTTGATCATTTTTGGACTCTTTTGCTCTATTAGGAAAATTTTGAAATTTTGGAATTTTTAAAGAAGAAGAAAAAAAATGTAGGAAATTTTTTGATATTTTGGGATTTTTTTTTCTATTAGATTTTTCTTTAAAATTTTTTTTTAGAATTTAGAATCATTTTAGAGGATTTTATGTATGTCTTAAGTACCGGCTCATTCTTACAACTTACATTTCATCTGAGTTTTACTATTTAATGCATTGCAGCTTTAACATATTATTCCTCTAGAAAATAGAATAATTCTAAATTGTATCAGTTTTTTATAGACACTTTTGCCATGTTATGGCAGACGAATCCACACTGCGTAAAAACTACATTGATAATTTTTTTAATGCTATTTTATAACCGTCGTTGAACAGCCGACCCAATTTTGAGTTAACGACTACCCATAGTCGATTCCACAAACTTTTAATTATGAGCCCAATCCAGAAGACAAGTGAACTCCTGGATCAATTATTGGGAGTATCGAAACTATGAACAATATTTTTACATTTCATACCAGTTATTTTAATTTTATTTTAAGTAAATTTTTTGATATTGTAAGGACATGTTTTGTTATTTTAAAGCACATTTTTTAGAGGTATGTATTTTCAAGGGTTTTTTCGGTTCTGAGCTCTAATAAATAAAATCCGGGCTCTAATATAAAGCACCGTTTAAATTTAAAGAGGAAGAAAAAAAGATTGTAAGTAAAGGGTTTTCGTCCCCTCAATGAGTTCAATCTACTTTCTTTGCATTAAAAGAAGAAGGCATATCAAGATGGGTCAGTTACTTTGTCCCTCGCTGACCTTTCTGCATCAGTTGGCTAACTTTGAAAGCGATCATCATCTGATGTATCTCCTTGTTTAGAATCGAGATATAATAAATAAATAAATAAAACATGTTTTAAGGTCTGTGGGACATTTCAAGGTCTTCAAAGGTTATTGTTAACTTTTAACTTGCTTTTTTTTAATTATGATTTTTCTTTATTTTTTTTCAGGGGTATTGTTCAACGCTCGTTTTAGAGTCTTAACTGTTTATTAATAAAAACTTAGTTTCTGAGTAAGCTGTTAATAAATGAAGTTTAAATAAAAGATTCTGTGAATAAAATAAAGTTTCTGTTTTGTTCTGATAGCATACATGTCATGTAATTTTCAGTGGGATTTTAAATATCTGTGCCTTCTTCCGAATTCCGAAAATAATAGATATCTCTATTTTTTTGTCAAAGTATGAAAATTTCGTATAAAAATTTATTCTTGCTTAAAACCTTAATTTTTACTAAAACTTTTTTTAAAAGAATATTTTTGCATTACGTACATTGTCAAATTACATTTATCGAATCACATCGCTTTACTGGTATTTCCAATGTTCATTGGATTTAGTAATTTTTAAGTCATTTTAATATAAAAAATAGATAAGTAGAAAAAAATATTTCTGCTAAAGATTCAACAGTGAAAATGTGTTTTAATAGAAATTTTATCATTATCTTCCTACTATTTATTTTGAATTGTTGTCCACTTTGCTATTATTTCATTTTTGTATAAATATGGTGAATTAGAATATTTTGTTCAATATTTGACAATAGCAAATAAGTTTTGCTTTTTGTTGGTATTTTACTATTGATGACAAGTAGATATTCGTTTGTTTATTTTATTGATAAATAATTTAAAAACTAAGTTAGCAATTTTTTTTTTACATATTACATGCATAAAAAACTATTTTTTCAAAATATTTGTTTATAGTGTGGTAGACAGTCGAAAAATCTTTCAGTAATTTGGTTAATTTTGCCAACATTTAAAAACTATCACACGAGTAATGGATCAGAGTGGTTTAAGTCATGAATTTTTGAATTATTTTCATCTAGTGGTGTGAAAATGATTTTAACCAAATTTACTTAACTAAGAATCATACATTAAAACTTAAAATTTGCTGCCACTAAAAGAAATTCTCCCACGAAGCATAGAAGTTGTCAGCTCGGATTTATTACATTATGCCCAGGTGACTTTGCACTCTTGTTGATGCGTTCGAAAATTATTGAAATATTGATAAGCATGCTAAAGAATTGGTGAAGGAATAAAATATATCCTAGAAATACTTTTTATTTTTCTTCTAAACTAATTAAATAAGTTTGAAATAGCATTGCAATAAGAACACAACTGTGCTGTTGCTAATCGTAACTGGGCTGTTGTGTTTGACAAATGGCGGAAAACAGAGGTTAACTATCTCTTTTATCATAAAATATTTATCGAATTTATATTTATAGGTTTCATTAAAATGGAATTCTTAATTAAACTGACGATTTTTTTTATTAAAAAAGAAAGCTTTAAAAAAAAAAAAAAAACTAAAAGCAGGAACTAAGAATGGAAAGTATATGTTACTGTGAATGACAGAAATGGGTGGTTGTTGACTTCCACCGGTGAATGTTGACCATCACATAGTTCGCTTTGGTAAATGTCCGAAATACATACTAGGTCTTGTTAAGTGCCACTGCCCGGTATGCCCTACACGGGTGTTTTTTAAATGCCCCTGGCCGATATGCATTTAACCGGTACTGATGTTTCTCCTAATCTATCCTCAGCAGATATTAAAATATCGAATATAATAATATTAAAGAATAAATTAATATCAAATCGGATATATAAGAAACATTTCGGACATTCACCAAAGCGATTATGTTGACATTCACCGGTGAAAGTCGATATTCTCTAGATTTCGGTCATTCACTTTAACATACATACCTTATCATGCAAATTTGTTGCATTTTTTTAATAACCTTAACCGCTTTTTTTTATTATGAATTTTTATAAATTGACAGTCTAATTGGAAAAAAAACCCTCTACATTTTTAATCTAAATAAAATGGTCTTTTACTTTATTTATACAATATTTGTAATGAGGTGCTGACCCTTATGATATCTTTATTTACGCTTTTTTTTCCTTTCTTTTTAGTTGTAAGAGGCTCTCAACTAGTGCATTAGCTAAGTAAGTATTTATTTATTTATTAAATTTTAAAATTTATAGACCGTAATATTTTTATTAATAATAATAAATAAGAAAATTATAAACTATATTATAGTATAAACTGCGTATCAGCAGATATGAGACAAAACTCATCATTAACCAATTAAATTTTTGAAATTAATAATTGTTAAACCTTAAAAAAACTTGAACCTGTAAGAGTCAGAAAAATTAGGAGCATTAAAAATTTGAAATATGCGTCGAATAAAGAATTATAAAGGTCTCTTTTCAGGTCCTATTAATATATATATCTATATAGGTAGGTACACTAAAATAAATTATAAAAAATAATCCTTGGGGATGGAGAAAAAAACGCTTCCCCAGGCCCGCAAATTCCGAAATTATAAGTACTAAAACCAGATGCGATGTAAAATGAAAGTATTGTTTTGAGGTCACATTTTTGTGATCTTGGACAACTGTAGTCAGAAAGGTTCCATTTATATAAATACTGTACACCTTAGGTGAAAATCGCGAAGAAATTCATTCGAATAATTTGTTATTTATAAATTTAGTTTGTAATTTTATTGTTTTATTCTAGTCAGCTTCACCGAAGTGGCAGTCGTCGAAATTCTCAAAGCTCCGATGAGATGTATCCCTTGGATGTTCCTATGTCAATTGAAGATGATGTTATAGATCTCAACCAGAAGGTGAGTTGCCATCTCTGGTGTATCACATGAAATAACGTTTTTGTTTTATTGCGAATATAATTCACAAGTGCTGCGAGTTCGCAATAGTTAAATTCATGACTGTCAGGTTGGGTTTAGCCTATCTTTAGGCAGTGACCTCTATGCTTTTTCTCAAAATGGCGCAAAACATCAATGCAAAGAAAAGCCCCAGTTTTGTGAAAATGAAAAGCGTGTGTGATCTAATTTTTTAATATTTAAAAAGTTACTATGAGCCGTGGTGGCTCAGGTTACAGAGCGTTCGTCTTCCAATAACTTGACCCGGGTTGGAATCCCAGCGATGGCTGGTCGATATAAATTGCGCACCTATCATAGTACTGACGTAAACATATCCTTAGTGGTAGACGGATCATGGCTTGCCATCAAACTAACTGAGAGAGGTTATTGTGATTTTCCTGTCCATGTAACTCAAATGCGGGTTAGTTCCATCAAAATGCCTTCCACAAAGGCTTTCTTTCAATACTTGATCAGGAGTTCCCTTGTCTTTTGGATTGGGTTCAAAATGACAAGGTTGTGGAATTGAGCATTAGTAGTCGTAAACCCAAAAAATTAAGTCAGCTGTTCAACGACGGTTATAAAGTATAACACCGCATTATCTGGGCCCTTGAAAAAGTGAGAAAATTTAAAAGCATTCATGGAGTCCGATAATTTTTATTTATCTATGGAAAAATTATCGCCAAATTTGGTGATTTTCAAAAAGTGTAATAACTTTTGAAATCTTTAGTTATTTGTCAGATCCAAAGCCCAGATAATCTTGGAATGTATCGTTTAAATTGTTCAGCAGTTTAGCCATAGTTCAGCAAAATGGAATGCATAGTTTAAATAATAGTTTAACCCCAAGTACATTTAAACTGTGTCTTTTATTATTTATTTTTCCTTAGCGAAAGGTGAAAGAACTTCCGGGAACACCATTAGAAGTAGTATATTGTTGATTTTAAATAAACATACATTTGGCACCAAGAAAACCATAGTTCGACGAAAAAAAAACCCTTTCTGTCCTACGTTGCTCAAAACAAAGAATGTTTTTAAATGGTTGGGTGATTTGACAAGGATGGTTTGTTCTGAACGGTTTTAATACGTGTTGTTTTAACGGTAGTGTTGTTTTTAATTTACTTGTACAGTGCGCTCATGGAAAAAGGCAATAAATATTTAAAATATTGGTGTTAGCGTGAATGATCGAAATCAAGAGAATGTCGACTTTCACCGGTGAATGTCCGAAATATTTATTATATCCAATTTGATGTTAATTGAATCGTTGATATTATTATATTTATTCGATATTTCAGTATCAGCTGAGGATAGATTAGGAAAAACATCAGTTTACGGAGTATCGGCATACCGGGCAGTGGTACTGAACATTAAAAACAACAACATCAGTATCAATACAGTAGAATGAATGTCTATTACATTAATAACTAGACCTGCAAATTTAAATTTTCAGTTATNGATGCTACATTTAATGTAACATTTGGGAGTTGCTCAGAATTTTCAACATGGTGTGCGTTAAGCGTATCTTCAAAATATTCTCTCCATCTTTCTTCGATCCTCTTTTCCGTAGTAAGTAACTTATTGTTTTTGTCTCGTTTTCTTTTAATAGCCACATTTTAAAAATTTTTTTTTCTCGCTTGGATGAAGTTATATTTAAAAAAAATAATATTCGTATCAGAAATAATATAAATGTGTGACTAAGTTTATTTAAAAATATTGGGGGAGGCAAAATATAATAATCTGCTGAGGATAGATTAGGAGAAACATTAGTGTTCGGAGTACCAGTTAAATGTGTATGGGACAGTTGCACTTGGTCTTAATTAAACATCAGTGTAGTGTATACCGGGCAATAGCACTGAACCTTTTTTAAAGTTTATGTAGGCTCCTTTTTTTATGGTTTATGTATGTTCCTTTTTAATGTTTTTTAACATTGATGTAGGGCATACCGGGCAGTGGCACTTAAATAGAAAAACTAAATTCAGCGGCGCGACAGCCCAAAGAGGGCCAAGGCCTACTGTGCCCATCTCAGTTTTCTTGACCTTGGGCTCTGGGGTGCAGGAGTAGATGTTCCGGTTAGGTGGTCAGCCGAACGCGGAACCCCCAGTGTTTAGTCTCCAAGCATGCTTGGTACTTATTTATCGACCCACTGAAGGGATGAAAGGCTGAGTCAACCTTGCCCGGCCCGAGGATCGAACCAGGGACGTGGGCCACGACAGTGCGAAGCGCTACCGCTCAGCCACCGGTCACTTAACTAGACCTAGTATTTCGGACATTTACTAAGACGACTATATGATTGTCAGCATTCACCAGTGGAAGTCAACAACACCAATTTCGGTTATTCACAGTAACATTGGCACTGGAAATACTGTGTTGTAGCCCTGGTAATAAAATGTACGGAGCAAAAAAAAAAAAAAAAAAATGTCGCTTTTTTTTTTTTTTTTNTTTTTTTTTTTTTTTTTTTTTTTTTTTTTTTTTTAAATCCGGATTTGTCTGCATCAGCAACGCAGTCGGACAGAGATTATTGTAGTAAGAATTAAGCTTAATCTAATATAAATGTAGCAAACTTTGTAATTACGAGGTCTTTCAAAATGATGCATCAAAAATTTGCAGTTTATAATTTGAATTTTAGGGTTGTTTAAATGGAATTAATACCATAATACAGTAAAAACCTGTCATAACTTAGCAGGAAAAAAATTCTTTACTTTTTTTCATACTCTTTTCAGCTTCGTAATATTTATTAGAAACATGTTTAGAGAAGTTTTAAAAATAGGAGCCTTATTTATCAACCTATTGTTTTCTTTGAAAAATAAAAGCGATGAAATATAATCTGCGCATGCAATAATAATCTGCGACTCTCGCTGTCATGTTTAATTTTTTATTATATTATTTTTTTTAAGGAGATAATTTATTTTTCGAAAGAGAAAAAGTGTGATTTTAGATCCATCTAAATATATGTATCTTTTGAAGTATTCAAATTTATTTTGTGGCCGAAGGAAAATAAAAAAATATTTAACGTTTACGCATATTTCATACTAGTAATAATTATACAAATTATACCAAATTTGATGCATATTTTTTTTTACGCTTTAAAATCAAATAATTTTTTTTTTTTATACATCAAATTATGATATTTGAATAGGATTATAATCATCATTAATCTTTCCCTGCCGAATGATTTAAATGTCATTATATCCGTCTGACGTCATAGAAACGATAATTTTCGATGTTTTTTTTTTTTTTTTTTACATTATTTTTTTTTAAAAGCGAAAAAAAACTGAAGCAGAAAGCTAGAACATTATAATATTGTTATGATTTCGAACGTAGACTGATAACCTTAATCTATTTAGCGGATATCGATGCTCATCTCTACTAAACGCATCACCCGTTTCCAACATTTCGAAGAATCGCTTTGTTCTAAATAGCAGTCATTTTTATTCTTCTTTTCAAAACATTTCTAGAATTTTCTCTCTCCTGCAAAAAATGGTGACAAAACCTTCTTCAGTGTTATGACACGCAAATCGAATTTCTCCCGCTTTCTGTGTCGTTTGTTGTTGTTGTTTGATGGATGGTTTTAGCCGGGATTCATTCTCCTGGATATTTAATGTCGGCCAGCAACAATCGATGGGGATCCACTTCTTTCTGGACACTTGAGCCGGATTCCAGCTGGCTGGATTATTGTCCGGATGCCGATACCACCACGGATTTTCAGCTAGCAGACGCATTGTGTATTAGTTCCGAATTTAAATATATTCTCTCACATAAGGTTAGTTAGTTTTTTTTTAAAAAATTTATTTATCAATACTGTAAACGTAAATAATATTTATAGATACTATTCCAGAAAATTTGAATTAATTTAACAAATATTTCCTGGTATTTTCATCATTTGAAGGCATTTTTACTCATTTTAGTTATAATTTTTTAAAATTAATTCTCTATTGTCTTTTAGCATGCAAATATAAATTTAGTTGTATACCAATTCTCTGTAGATTTGGTCAACGTATTTCAAATATAATTTTTGCTTTTCCTACGTTACGATTTGTAAAGTTATAAATATCGATCTGATAAAAATATAATAATAATTTGATAATCCACGTCTATTCATTAAAAAAAATATTTAATATCTATTATAACACATACATTTATTATCCAAATTAGATAATTTAATAAATATTGGATCTCCATAATGAGTAAAATAAGACTTTTTGGTAATTGTTGCAATACAATGGAATGAATTTATAGTAAATTAAAAACTGATTTTTTTCGTAATGGTTCGCCTTCATTACTTATAAATTTATTTATCAAAAAATTGCTATCAACATTAGACCTGAATTGAGTATAATATCAGACTGTTTATGGCATTTGCTGTCGTGCAATGGGTTGAATGTATAAATACATTCTGAAAATTTAAATTTTCAGTTATTAGCCGGTGTCCCGTTAAATCTAATAACTAAGTCCCGAACTTTTTCTTCAAACCTAATGAGTCGGGGGTTGTCATTGATAGGTCCTTTTCATTTAATAACCACATTAAAAAAAATTTTTTTTTTGCTTGAATGAAGTTATATTCTAAAAAAATATTCATATTAGAAATAATCTACGGCTATAAAAAGTTAATTTAACAATAAAAATAATATAAATGTGTGACAAAGTTTAGTTAAAGATACTGACTTTATTTAAAAATATTTTTGAGGCAAATTGCATTTAATGTATTTGTACCGTGAATGGCCGAAAAGAATGTCTACTTTCACCGTTGAATGTTAACAATCACCTAGTTGCTTTGGTGAATGTCCGAAATATTTGTTATAGCCGATTTGATACTAGGTCGATATTTGTTATAGCCGATTTGATATTCGTTGATATTATAATGTATATTCGATATTTTAATATCTGCCGAGGATAGATCAGGAGAAACATCAGTGTTTGGAGTGCCGGGCAAAAGTATACCTGGCAGTTGGACTTTGCCTTTAAAAAACATCAGT